TGGCAGCGGGACACGCCGGGTGGAAAAGCTGGGAGGTACCTGAGGAAAAGAAACGCCAAAAAAAAAAAAACAAACCCCCCAAACAAAAACCCCCCCCGGGTGTCCCCCTGAGAGCCCTGGTCTTTTTAGGGAACGGTGGCAAGCGCTTTTCGGGAAGCAGCCACGAGCCGGCGTGGGGATGCCATGGGGCGCACACCCCACTGCTGCCCTGGGCTGGGGACCCCCCGTCTGCTGTCCCCAGGGAGCAGATACTGGACCAGTGTCCCCAGCCTGGTGGGAGGGACTGGGGAGATCCCGCAGGAGCATCACACCAAGGAAGCGATGCATTTCTTCCCCAAAAGAGGGGCTACCCACCAGGTGCGGTAGGCACCGAAGAGCTGCCAAGAGCCACCTCCAGCCCTTCGGGGAACCGGGGCAAGAACAAGAAACATCCACGTCCTCTTTTCAGGCTTCAACCAACGCTCAACATGCTCAAGATGACCGCAACCAGATTTAGAGCAGTGGTTAGTGACGTTCGCTGCTGCTCGCAAGCGGCACGCGCCTGCTGCTGCCAACCGAATGCTATTTCAAACAAGCCTGCCCACGCCGGAGCTCCCAAATCCTCCTCGCTGCATCGGGTTTGGTCCCTCCATCCCGTGCCCTAGGAAGGACAGACCAAAGACCCAGGCTGTCTGGCAGAACGGCTGCTCTGCGTGGGGCCAGGGTCCCTTATCCCCCCAGAGCAGGCACCTGGAGGAGGAAGGAGCTGCTTTCAATCTGCTCCAGCTCCAGCCCCTTCTGACCGCCTCTGACGCAGCTTCAAGCCGAAATCGGGGCAGCCTGCAAAACCCGAGAAGGTAGGTTACGTATCTGGTGTTCCTGATCTGAGCAGGAAGCAACAAGGTCCACATCAGCACTTTTTAAGAGGATGTTATACCATTCAACTTGCACTCCATTGCCCGAAACAACCCGCAAGAGAATGCCGGGGCTGTACCGGAGGCAGGCAGTGGCAGGGAGAGGCTCTGGGCTGCAGCAGCGGTGGGATATTAAACTGCATCTCAGCAGAGCCTGCAGTCCCCTCCGCAGTGCAGTCAAGTCTCGGCCTCCCGCACCACGAGTCGTAAAGCAGAGGGGGTTCCTCCGCCCCCCACCACCAGAAAAGAGGGACCACCTCATCCAAGTGACAATATAATTTTGTTTATTTTCCTTTAACACACTGCTGGTTAAAACTGCCAGACAGTAGATTTCAGAACATTCCCTCAACCAAACATCCTGGGGAAATTAAAAAATAAAACCGCTACCATGTACCAAAAATAAAATAACCCACCCCCACACCCATCTTTTCCCCCAAACTAGTCCCTGCAAAGCCAATGCAATCAGAAATAGACATCTGTGCTTTTCACCCAGGGCCCAAGCTTGCTGCAAAACAAACTAAAAAAAAAAAAATGTCACTGCAAGTTGTTATAACACAAAGCAATGGACAGTAAAATAAAAAATCCTCCTTCAAAACCCTTTGTGCTGGTGACAAGTACAGATGGAGATCTCTCCCCACACTGCTTTAGCCTTTACAGACAACTTAGACCTGCAGTTTCAAGTAGTTTGTGATGTGTCCTTAATGCCAACGGCACGGGTCACTTCCACGTGTCCCAGCCTCCGCAGCCAAACCCTACGGAGCAGCGGGACAACCTGCCAACGCTAAAAGCTGCTACGACGATGGGAGCCAAACATCGCTGTCACCTGCCCAGCATCTCGCAGTCCTGGCTACTGCCCCCTGGCACAAAGCACAAATCCTGCCTCTGCTCTCATGGTCTCCAGGGCTGCTTTACCAACCTGGCTGCTTCTCGAGTGGGAAAGCCCTGAACACACGCAGCCCCCATAGAAACTGTGGAAAACTCAAGCCCCGACTTGCCAGCAAGTTTCCAGACACTGCTTCAATCCAGCGCCCTAGTTCAGGAACTGTTATAGTGTGACAGAACAGCCATGGCAGCACAGGCAAGCACATCCCCACTACACGGGACTGGCAACAACTCCAGGGCAGAGATCCTGCGTTTTCTAGATTCACACTCTCCCCAGTTAAACTGGTTCAAGCTGTACTTTGCCCCTTGCCTTGAAATCTCCATCACACAAACTCTTTAGCAGAGACCTCTGATGTTTGCAAAAGATTATTCACATTTTCTACTCAGCCAGCACTGTTTCTAGGAAGGAGGAAAGCACTTCTGTTTTGTTGATTACTTTTTTTTCTTTTTTTTTTTTTTTAAATAAAGCACTTCTTGGGAAAAAAAGAAATCAAAACATATCAACAACCTGCAGTAGCGTCCCACTGATCAGACTGGGGACAGTGCCGCCCCATCCCTCCCCCTCCCACATCTTCCCCCCAATCTCCAAAAATAGTATTTAATATACAGCAATAAACTCTGAGCAAGCCAGAGTCCCGGAAGACATGGACCTGCTTTCACCTCTCCCATCCAGCCTAGCACCATTTCAATGCGGCTGCTACTATACTCCTGGGACAAATCCGTTCGGATCCAAGGTGAAACGCACGTGCCCCAGCCCTGCTGGGCAGCGCACAAAGCAGGGGTGCAGCACAGGAGGCCTATTCGTGTAATCACATTTCATGAGCCTTCACAGCGCCAGCCTGGTGTTGTGTTTGTGCCGTTGAGAATACTTGTCTGAGCCTATTTGGGACTAGCCAGTGAAGACAGACTGGTGGAACCAGGCTGACGTTAAAAAAAGCATCCTTGAATTGTATTAGACTTTGGCATTTGTTGTGGAGATGCAGAAGCTCCAGTAGGTAAATTAGCTCAGTGCTGGCTCAGCTCCCATTTCCCTTGGATTCTCAGCAAGGATATTTCCTTCTCTGCCACATAAGTGCAAGAAGCAGACGGATCTCTCCCACATTTGAGCACCAAACAGAGCCTGAAACACTTGGTACTTCGCAGCTGCTCAGAATCTGTCTCACATCAAGGGCTGAAGCTGCTCTTGCTGGTCCTCTCCCTCCTCCTGCTGTTTTCTATCAAAGACAGGTCTGTTCAGCCCAGACTTCCCCTATCAAGACATTTCCCTGGCTGTTGCAACCCCATTTCAACTTAAAGAAAGGCCAAGAGACAAAGCTCAGGTCTCTGCTCCCTGTTCAAACCCAAACGGTGCAGTGCAAGCCCTCAGCGAGTGAGTTTGGGGGGCAGGACCCTGCAAGTCACACTCTGCACCCAGAAGCTGTAAGCACCATACGACTACCAGGACCTAGCCATGACTCACTCAGCTTTGAACTGCACAGACACGCAGGCACCAGACTGTCTGGAAGTTCTCCATCCTGCCTTCGGGAGATTTCTGGGGGAGACCAGACCTGAAAGAGCTCTTCCAGTTGTTCTATCCCCTGCTAGGCTTTTTTTCCATTGACCTTAAGGGCTGGAACCAAAGATACTTGCTCACAGTCCTCTGCTTCAGCTGTGACCTCCAGAGCTGGCATTCAGGGATACTGAGACAATCCCCAGCTGATCACAAGGGCAGGGAATGCCTGTCCCTTAGGGGAAAAAGAAAAAACAGCTCAGAAGCTCCTTAAAAAAAAAAAAAAAAAAAAAAAGCTGCTTCTTCAAATAGACTTTTATTCAAAGCCTGATACAAAGGCACCAAAAAGAGAAGGTAATTCATTTGGCTTTCTGCTCACTGCCACATGGGATACTCAAAAGGGGCAGAGCTGTTGTTTTAGTCACAAACACACAAGAGGCAAATGGCCTGGCTTAAAGGTATGAAAGGAGGGACTGATGAGGGGATAATTAAAATAGGCTTTGGAACCACTACCCTGAGGCTGGATTCAGGCCCAAAACATGATTGATGGTGTCACCTCCCCTTTATGAATTGGAAGCTTTATTAAAATTGCCTTATCTGCCCCTCTCTACACAACTGCTGCATGAACCAAGCCAGGGTCTGTTCTGACCCAGCTCCCCACATTGCTGCACAAGGACACGTACTTCTCCTGCCTGCTGCCAGCTGGAGGCAACGAAGCACGAACAGGCTTATCTCTAACTAGTCTCAGTTAAACGTCTTGGATATTCTCTCAAACACCCGTGCTGGAAAGCTACAGCCAATCCAAACTTTTTCTTTCCCTGGTCAGGACCGAGTACCTCATTATACACATCTGTCTGGCTTGCAGGTGCCAGACAGAGATGGCAAGGGGAGCCAGCCTGAGTATGCCATTCCCAGCGAGGTGCTGACTGGTTATCCCCTACCATCCTCCCGTGTTCCCACACGCTTTGTTTGAAGGCTCCTTCCGAGGCAAACCTGTCTGGAGGGGATGGACCAACAAGGAAAACTGTTCACAGCACCACAACAGGGTCAGGAACTCCCCAACCACCAGCTTTGCAGTGACAAAGATGCACAAAACCAGAGCAGAAAACAACTAAATTGAAGCCATGAAGGATGAACTATTCCTCCTCCCTATTCTTATTCAAATAAGACAAAGTCATTTGAACTGAGCAACTAGAACACAACAGATCACACTCTGCACAGCTTTGCCTTAGGGCGGCTGATGGCACCAAATGGGTGCCTGGGCTGCCAGGAGAGGCAGGGATAAACTGTCCTAGAAGATTTGTCTCTGACTTTTGCACACCTAAATGCACACCCCTTTTCTCATGCTAGGCAAGGTGCAGAGATTACTGGGTGAGCCACAAGAAGCTGAGTGATTCCTTGCTTCAAGGATGCTCAAATAAAATGCAACCTAAAAGGCCTGGAGGAGAAAAGAGAAGCTTGCTTTCAAGCCCAGGTTCTTTGCTTAACAAATCAGCGCAGTCCATGCTTCTCAAAACTGATAAAGATCTAAAGGTCTCTGTGCTCCAGTGAGAGCAATCCCAAAAACGCTAGAGAATCTCTGCAGGCACCACCACCAAACAAAACAGAGCTCATATTTATAAGAGTTTTATAAGTACTAGGATTTTAACAGCAGCTAGAAGGCAAGGTAGACAACTTCAGGCTTACCACCTTTTCATCTTAAGGTTTGTTCTTAAGATCTGCCCTCTGTAAAGCCCATCTTCTCCTTCAACTGTGGCAGGGACGCTCGTCTTTCTCCCAAACCGGCTGTTACCACTTGTGCAATTGGAGAGAAGGTGATTAAGGTCCTTGCTTGCTTTTTAGCTCACAGACACAGAATCAGGGTCAGGCCTATAGCAGTGATGTATGTGATCAGAAAGGCAAGGTTCAGTGTCACTGCTGTAGAGAGCAGTGCTTTGACACCTCCCCCAGCTCCCGTTCTGGAGCTACTGAGCTGGCAGCTCATATCAAAGCTTGAGGGTTAGAAGGAAGCCAAGGCTTCAGCTCCTTGGGCCCAGCAGAGCAGAAAGGCTACTCCTCCAGTTTCCCTTCCAGAAATGAGGGAATTCTGCTGACCCTTCTCAGCTCAAAGAAAGGCTGGAGCCATTGCAGGGGGTCAAACCCAACCACTATGAAAACTCAGGCCCAGGGAGGAGCAGCAGCAAGGAGGACACCGCTCAGTGCCAGCGCTCCAGGTAGAGACAGCGTGAATTAAAGTCTTCTGCGAGCCCAGAGCTCACCAGCACTGAAGCTGACCCACAACGACCCAACCCTGCCTGGGACAGATCCTGCTCCAGCACACAGAACATCTCTCTCCCGCCAGCCAGAAGTGCTCAACATGTCAGAGGCCAAGACAGTGGGAAGGCAGCTCCTCGGGGCCCGCAGCTCTGGATCAGCAGGCGCAGTGAGGGCTTTCGCTCTGCTCAGCCTCTGTCTAGAAGCCTCTTGCAGAAATATCCCTGGGGTAAGCGGGTGACCTTGTCTCCAGTGTTCTGCTCACTTCCATATCTCTGGAGGGCAACAGACCACCTTGCTCTACAGTACTGAAATGTTGGACATTTGCCCCTTCACTACAGTGCCTTGATACGCAACAGGCCAAACTAACTGAAGACACTAACCAACTCCACTGCGCTTCTCACCACTGCAGGTAAGCCTGGTCCCTATGACAGGGAACAAGAGCTCACAGGGAGCATCCACGAGGTTGCTCCACTCTGTCCTACGGCACAGGTTGTTCACAGTCACGGGGCAGGGAGCTAACCGTTAGGAAAGTCAAGGAACAAGTCCAGAACCTCCTCTCTAGGCCATCTGATTCTCCGCTTCTTCCAAAGGAGAGGTCATTGGCCAGAAAGGGCAAAACAAGGAACTGGGCTTAAAATGAAACCTTTGAAAAGAAAAGGATATTAAAAGAAACAAAAGCCATAATCAATACAGAAAACAAGTGCATCTGATCAGACGCTAACAACGTCAGCCTCTCGCAGGCTACAGCAGAATCCCTCTGCAATGGATCTAACGTTACAATTGCCAAACTAGAAAAGTCTCTCCCAACTGGTGCAGCAAATCAGGCCAGATAAATCCCTCTGCTCCTGGCGCAGCTTGCAGTCCTAGGAGGAGAAGGTCTCCACAGAGGCTGAGCGGCTAGCTGGAGTCTTGGTAGCTTTATGCAGGCAAGTACCATACATAGTGTTGCACACATTCAGGGAGATGCTGAGCCAGGCTCTGTCCTCCATAGTTGTTAGTCACCCAACAGCACCACAACACTTCCACGCTCCCAGACAAAACGTGTACCCAGGCCTCGTTTTAAGAGCTGCTTCCCCGCTTAAGGAACCGTATTCCACCCAGCAAAGGCAAAGATCCTGCAGCACATGGCTTTCTCTCAATGTGGGACGTAGCCCAGGACCGGTAGCATCAGCTTTCAACAGCCCAATACACAGGCAGCCAGGACTCAGTTTACTCTTGGATGCCCCAGGGAGGATCGGAGGCTGCACATGGTGCGAAGGGGAAGGCGAGGGCCTCGCTGCTTGCTGGCAGGGGGAAGGTAAGCTCCTTCTTACCTGGACCTGCTATTCATTCCAAATGATTCATCTTTTTTTTTTTTTTTTTTTTCCCTTAAATTATGAACAATATGGAGAAATTGAAAGCAACTGTGTTTGGTCCAACTCCTTCCCTCCCAGCCCCTTGGCTGATGCTCTGTGGGGCTTGCTCTCACAATCGGCAGAGGCAGAAGAGGGTAGGAATGAAGACACCGAAGGCCACCAATATAGGAAACATGAGGCTGCTGTTGTCCGAGGCATATGGGTTTGGTGTGCGTGGGCCTGACTGAACCCGGTTCTTATTTGCCTGTTTTTTAACACTGGAGCCATCATCATATTCATCTTCATCATCATCTTCCTCTTTTTTCTCCAGACCTGGGTGTGGCTGCAGCTTTGGAACATCTGTTGGGCAAGACAAAAGGTTGCAAGGAGACAGGATGTAATCTGGGAAATCACCCGAGTCACTCCCTTTCCCTCTCCCCAATCTAGCATGAACACGGGCGACAGGGCACATGACACCACATCAACACCACGGCCAAGGCACCCCAGAAAATAGGAGCATCCTCCCTCACAGAGGCTCACACCGCTATTTCTTTCCTCCATGATGCAAGAGCATCTAAAGACCCAGTCTGCAAAGAAAATTACATCCCTCCACCCCATCTACGTGTCACACAGGAGAAGTTACAGCACAAAAGCACACTTAAAGCTGACACAGTCAGATACTGCAGCTGCTCAGTGAGACCTAGTCAAAAACAAGCACCTGCTGCCTGCGGGACCAGCAGATACAGGTGCAAACAGGAACGGGAACAACTCTTTCCGCAAATGGTCCTACCTCACATCACTGCAACCCCCCAACCCCAGACCTATCAGAGCAGCATGGCCCAACCCCACTCAAATCCAGTCCTCTGAGCCTGGAGCCTGAATTGCAGGTCCCACACACAGCAAGGCACCACCTGGCCACAAGGTTACACACCAAATCTTCAGCTTGATGCTTTGGTCAGAGAGGGGTCCTAAACCTCCCCTGTTCAGGAGCTGGAGGGGCTCCAACTCCAGCACAGACTTACAAAGAGGGTGACGAAAGAGCAAGGACTTTACTAGCACTCCCCACTGCTATCAACAGGAACTGATATCTGGGAAAAAACACTGCCTTGTCCTCAAGCTGAGAAGGTAACACAAAGCTCCAGGTAAGAAACACTTAACTACTAGCTAAAACATCTCTGTAAATTACTTGTCTGCAGGGCTGCTGCTGACATCCAAGGCCAGAGGGAATTTATCTGTAGCTATAAGCTAAGACTGACCAGATGTGTCGCCTTCTCCTCTACTCCATATGCAGGAAGTCCTGAACCAAGTTGATTTTTCTTATTCAAAAAATGACACAGCTTTGTGTACTTGGAGGAGCAGGGGGACACTACGTGTCTATTTCATTCTGCAACTGCACTCTGTGGGAACTTGCTGAGAGAGAAACAGTTTTGGCAGAGGTGGGTCAGCAAGAACTATGATCTCATGGTCTGAGAAGCAACAGGCTGCTCTCCAAGGGGGAAGAGCCTTCTGGCTCAAAAACTGTGCTTACCTTCCACTGTTCCTTGCAGGATGTATAGGGCACAGATTTTTGGATTGTCATAGTAGCCCTAGAGAAAGCAAAGAAGGAAGTCAGTGCTGCAGCTTTAAGGCAAGAAATATTCTTCCCACCTACCATTACGTCTCCTCCTCCAGCACACAGCTGTATCACATGGCTGAAGGGGAAAAGGAAGATCAGGGCTCTGCCCAGAAAAGCTTATTACCTTTACAAACTCAATGTGGAGCTTCCCCGTGAACGTGGAAACCTCTCCCTGGACACTCAGTTTCCCCTTTTTGATACTCATGGGAATGATCTCATCGTGAGCTGTGCTGTGTCCAACTCTGTCAAAAATGTCCAAGTCCTTCACCACCACGTGGCCATTCAAGCGAACATCAAATACCTTCAGGTTGGAAGAAATGACAGAGTGTCAGAATGGATTCAGGCATGTGACGGTTGAAAGGGGAACAGAACAGGAAAGGTCTCTGCTTGTTATGCACTCAAGACCAGAAAGCATTGCAGGATGCACTGTCCCACCACACATGCTCCAATCCCTTGGGAAGGATTCAGAGCCCAAAAGCAGCCAGGTGAAGACGCTGAAGAATTAGCGTTGCTTTCAAATACCCTGAAACCTGCCTCCTCCTTTTAAAATAACCCCCACGTCTGCTGTTCAGAACTGAGGAGAGCACAATTTTATTCTGGTTTATTCATACTTTTCTTTCACAGCTTCCTTTCCACCTACTGGCTGAAGACCTGCTCCTACCACCTCAGGGTGGCTGTGGCACACCACACCCTAGGGAGTTAAGCCATTTCTAACTAACAGCCTGCAGCAGAGTAGAGAAGAGGAAACAAGCTAGTGAAGGACACAAGGTTTGAAGGAGGCAAAATGTTGAACTGCTAACCACATCTGTGAATTCAGAGTGAAAGTCCTCCTCAGGGCTGTAATGACTCAAACTTCACTCAGCACCTGGGGAATCCCAGCAGAACCACATGAAGGAAGAGGAACCAAAGATGCCTCAGCCCTTCACTTTAATCTGAGGCTGCTTTTTGCATCCATTCTGTAAGCCAGCCCCACCAGTTCTGTTCCCTGAAATACTTCTCTGGCAGGAAGGCAGCACAGTGCTTAAAGAGCAGGGCTTTAAAGAAGCTGATAGAGTCAGGGGAAAGCCAGACTAAACCACAGACCACTTCTGTCCCAGTTTATCACAGGGCTTTGAGTTCTTTGTGCTTCTGCTTCCATGCCTTACATGAGGGATTTCAAAAGTGGACAAGGATTATTTTTCTCTAAAGAGCAATAAAGAGGGTTGAATTTAACTCTCTGCTTTCAGGATCAGTTTGAACCCATATCAAGTCTTACTACATTCTTAAAAATTGTTGTGAGTAGGTTATTTAACCCAGATCACTTCCCTGATTCAACCTCTGCAATTCTTTCTCCAGCACAAGCATGCTGTCAGGTCAGGAACAAGTGTTCAGGGAAAAGGCAAAAACACTTCTCAAAGCCAGCACAGCCTAAACAGATCATAAAACTCTAGTGCTAGTTATGTTTAGCTGCACATGTTTGAATATTTTGTAATGTGATTTTCCAAGCCAACTGTATATCTGGAGTGTGGAAGGGAGCTCAAAGTTTCAGAGCCCACGACAGCTCTAGGAACCAAGTTAACCATTAGTGCCTTACTTCTCTCCCCTCTCCAGCACGTAAAGCAGCAGAGGCAACTTGCACACACACAGTCTTAGCCAGGAACTCGCATCAAAGAGACAAGCACGGAGCTGTTGCTTACCTTCTGTTGAGATTGTGCAAAATAGACCTCCGCAAACTTCAACACCAGCACATAGTCACCCTCCTCTTTGATGGGAACTTCATAGCCAAAGGTTTCCTCGTTGTAACGCTCAGTCTGGTACAGAATCTGATCTTCTGCGTTGGACCGCAAGATTGGCAGCTTCATACCATAGTCAGAAGCTGGGTTTCACGCACAAAACAGTGAGAGGAAGGGTTAATTTCTGAGGCACACGGACGAGACACTTCATATACTCTTGAAGTGCTTAACTTTCTAAGTGGCAATAGCACTTATGCCCTTGTCAGACCTGTCTCCCCTCCTTGCTCTGACCAGGAGGAGGCACTACTGGAGCAGAAGCAGAAGTAGCCAAAGTCCTAGAACCCAGGCCCTGCAGAAAAACGGGCCTGGACATGCTACAGTTTAAGACGCTGTAAAGTCACTCACACCGTTTCAGAAAGAAGAGTCTGTTTCACGAACAGGGCACAGAGCCAAAGGACTTGGCCATTGACTCCTGCTTCAAAGAGGAAAAACACCTAGAATATTTTTACAACAATTTCAGATTACAAATTCTGTGTACAAAAATTAAACAGTCAGCATAGGACTGACTTGACTCATTCATTCAACAGATTTGAAGTCAGCGGTCGATGGCATCAAGTTTAGAGACTCATCCTCCTCAAATGAAAACCTGGGGAACGGCAGAAGGGTGAAAAGCATTAGACATCTTACGAAATTCTTTCTTCTCACCACAGCCACGCAATACCTGCCAGCTTGAAGACAGGAAGAAGGAAGCAAGAAAGATACACAAAGGTTTCAAGAGCACCAGCAGCTCCATCAGCTGCTGTTCTTACAGCCATCCAGCTGAAACGGGCACTGTCTGCAGGCATCTGAACAGCCAGCCCCCTGAGAAGGGCCCAAACAACATTCCCAAATGGGACAATAACTGAGAAAATAACAGAAATCATAAAATTTGCCTCTTCTCATTCATTATTTCACCACCTCTAGAGCAGCCCTCAAAAGACCTTAACCCAACTTGACATTTTATTGTGTCAGGGTTACTGTACGAATGCAAACTGATGCACGCCTCAAGGGCTCCGAATCAAATAATTCTCTGGTGAAGGAGGGGCAGGAGGTAAGACTGTGGACACCATCTGCCCACTGGCACTTCAGGCAGGAGAAGTTGATCCAGACAAAGTTCTCTGCTGACACTTGCCATTTCCACCCCCATTTCCATGGGAACAGACACTGCATTGGCCAAGACAAAGCAAGAACTACTAACCTAGCGCACGTTGCCAAAGATGGAGCCAATGCAAACGAGCAAGAGGAACTTACTGCCAGTTCTTAGCCTCCTGTTTCACACAGAGCTACTCAGGCAATCTTCTACTTCTCTTTACACTTGAACCCAGGCGCAAAGGCTGAACACTCTAATCACCAGAAATACAGAGGGTGAAAAAGTTTAGCCTGTCCTCCCACACTGATATTTCTGGCCAGCTACAAATTACAGTGATAGCGAACTAGGGACTCCACAGAAGTCAGCTCCTGTTAGAGGAAAGCCTGAATAAGAAGAAAGTCCTTTAATATCCAAGAAGGTAACTGGAGAGGAAGACCTGTCACCTGTGTATCAGAGGTCTGTTGACATAGCTGTGGAAGCGAGCTTGATTTTACAGCGTGCTTGGTGTGCTGAGAGGTAGCTCACCAAGAGACGAGCAGTACCCATTAAGCTGCGACTCAACTATGTTTGGCACCTGGCTATTCTGTAATTGCCATCAGCACATTTTGTCCTTTAGGGCACAGCATCTGAACTGAGGCGTGAAAAAAATGGTTTTAATTTGCCCAGAGGCAGTACAGCCCAGAAACACTATCCCTAGGTCGTTTCCTCCCAGTCAGCCACCTATTTCTGCTGTAGCCATTACATGCCTATCAACACAGAGAGGAGTCCAGAGTAAACTGAACAATGGTGCAATAAAAAGCCATTGAGGGAAAAGCAGCTGAGAGCTCAAAGGGGTAAAGCCTCCGCTGTGCCTGGCACCGCTGGCTGAAGCAGGATTACTGTAACAGCCTGCTGTTCAGAGGAGACACCAGAGGCTTTCCCCAAAGGAAGAGCATGTCACAATGTGCTTGAAAAAGACTCTTTTTTCTCCTCAACTCAAAAATAAATTGTTCAAGTCCACAAGGACATTCTCCTTCAAGTCACACATGTGAAAGGTCTGTGAAGGGAAGCTGACCTACAGCAATCACGGCACCTTGTGTGACTGGGGCAGCCAGCTCCCACCAGGGGTGAAAAACTCCTCACAAACTGTGTTAGTATTTAAATGTGACCTCCCCTGTATCCATCGTGCCCAAACGGCTCTCTGGGATGGTAAGCAACGGCAGTCCTAGCTGTATAGCACAGGACAATCCTCACCATCCTACGTGGAAACAGTGAAGGTTAGGCTTAAAAGTCAACAGCTCATCTTCTCTGCACTCCACCACTCACCTGTAACTGACAGCAGGAGCTGCTCAGCACAGGTAACTTTTCAATATGTTTGTGAATCAACTAAGTTTTGGTGCACCAATTACCAGAAACATGCAAAATTCGTACAACCGGAGCGGTTTCAAGGGGGGGTAGGAAAAGGTAACCCAAATGCAATATTAGTTCTCCATCCTGTCCTTACTGGTAGATAGGAAATTTTACTGATTCAGTAGTTAGAGCAGCTGATCATATCCCATCTGCCTCTACTTCTGCTTCTGTCCCTGCCCTGCTCTTGAACACCCTGCCAGGACTGGAGCAGTAGAACAGACCAGCCAGCTGCACCTTTCTCCTGCCCGGCCCCAGCACTGAGGCTCCAGCGACCAACCTGCCCTCCTCCCCGTTGGGACCAGTCTACTTGGCAGCAGGCATCGCCCCGCACCGCGAGCGATTCGGCTGCGCAGAGCAGGCGACGCGCGTTCTCTCGCTTTATACTGCGAGCGCTGCAGGCTGGGCTTCAAACTGGCAGATCTTGCTGTGGAAACTGGGGTCTTTCAGTGGAAAATGGGAGGGGAAAAAAAAAAAAAAAAGGAGCCAGGCGGCTGCATGCGGCCGGTTTGGCAGCCTGACCGCTCCCGTCGCCTTTCCAGCCGAAATTCCACTCCAGCCCGCGCGGAGCGACTTCCCCTCCGGCATTACACAACCCCGCAGCCCGAGGCCGGGAAAACCAGCCCGAAGCCCGCGGGGTTCATCCCGCCGCTATACCGGGGCCCAGGGCCCGCTCCGCCGCGGGGGTGACGGGGTGGTGGTAGTGGGGGGGGGGTCCCCACGGGTGACAAGTGCCGTGCGGGGACCGGGCCGGCGCTGCCCGCGGGGCCTCGCTGTGT